TTTTGAGAATGTTACTGTAACAAAATAGATTTTTGATTCAGACAATTCCATTGCACATTTTTCTCTGATTATATAGTATGCGTTATGACATAAATAGGTTTAAAAAAAAAAGCAGGCGTAACATGAAAACATTTTAAACAGAGCTTTTCTGAAAATAAAATTAGAAAAATTAAGCAAATGCTGGAGTCCAAGTTCCTGGTATAGATGATTTAGCCTTGAAAAAACATGTATTATGCATTTAAAGAAGTTGCTTTCGCAAAGAACCTTATATATAAAATTTTAAACAAGATTCTTCTCAACGTTGATTTAAATTTTCTGTTTTTACAATAATGTAAATAAATGTTCAGCTAAATTTTAAATATTAATATTTACAAAAAATATACAAACCTTTTACAAAGAATATAGAAACCTTTCAGAAGAAAGTTTAAGCATTATTCTTTTCTACATTGATTGGGAATTTTCATTTAAATGTAAATGTTATTCAGCTTAAAGTCAAAGAAATTTTTTACAATTATATTATTTTAAACGTGATAAAAATAAAAAAGCAAACTTTTTGTCTCAAATTACAAATGAACAATCATGTGAAAATTTTCTACATTTAAATGTTATTCAGCTTAAAGTCGAAGAAATATTTACGATTAGAATCATTTGACAATTATTTTAAACATGATAAAAATAAAAAAGCAAGCCTTTAATTTCAAATTTCAAATGAATAATCATGTGAAAATTAAAATGTTATTCAGCTTAAAGTCGAAGAAATTTTTACGATTAGAATCATTTGACAATTATTTTAAGCATGATAAAAATAAAAAAGCTAGCCTTTTGTCTCAAATTTCAAATGAATAATCATGTGAAAATTTTCTATATTTAAATGTTATTCAGCTTAAAGTCAAAGAAATGTTTACAATTAGAATTATTTGACAATTATATTATTCTAAACATGATAAAAATAAAAAAGCAAACTTTTTATCTAACATTTCAAATGAATAATCAGGAGAAAATTTCTGAAATTAAAATAATAAAAATACTTACAATTTTGAGATAAACTTTAAAATCAGCGTTAAAAGAAAATTGCTTCCGATATCATGCCGTCTGATTAAAATAATCAAAATTTAAATATATTCAACTGTTTTCATGACACTTAAGCACTCATAAAGATTTGCTAACGTTACATTTTATCAATACAAAAATCGTACCTGACAAATCAAAATTTTAAAATGTTGAAGATTTAATACTAAGTCGTAGAAAAAATTACACACTACAGTAATGCAGAAAAAAAATCTAAGATAAACATAACTATTTCACAGTATAATAATTTTATTGAAAAACCAAACACACTTTAAAATCAACTTCATCCAATTGTAAATGCAATACATTACCTTCATTGTTTAAAACTAACGTCGATAACCTAAATACACAAATTAAAACACACACGATAAAACACAAATTAAAAGTACATAACTGTTATTAAATAAAATAAATTTTTTTCTCATGACTTTAGAAATATCTGATACAGTTTGAGCTTATTCATCCAATTGTAAGTCTTTATTTACTTGAAATTATATTTCTAAGCAGTAATTAAAAGCTTTTATGAAATGTTCAGAACATGTGTATACGAAATAAATATAATAATGTGTGTAAGAAAAGTCACATGAGGACTTTTCGCTATGACAGATTTATAGTAGTCCATGCTGAATATCCACACTGTATACATTGACTGTAAGAACGATCGAACTTAGAATTACCAGCTGTCCATCATAATGTGCGATTTCATAGTGTGTGTAGTATCCAACTGTTCTTCTCAAATATTGAATTGGCTCAGAGAAGAAGTTTCTTTTGAAATCAATTTCTTCGTAGTAGGTTTTCTTGAAGATAAAGAGCTATACAGTGGCGTACGCAAGGGAGGGGTTTAGGGGTTTAAACACCCCCCTTGAGCTCAGACAAAATGGCAAAAATAAAAATTTTAGTAGAAATTATGCGATTATTTATTTTAAACTTAAATTATTTCATTTGAAAATGTTTTTAAAAAATTGTAACATCTTTTACAAAGAAATTCAATGAGTAAATTGCGGTATCTATACTTCATCAAAAAATCTTGGTAGAGCCACACGAAAAGCAAAACGTAACATAGTGGCAAGGGGATTAACAAAAGAGGTTTAGCTCATAAACACTCTCAAGCAAACTATCATATGTTAATAAAAAAAAAAAAAAAAAATCAAACTTCGAGCTAAAGTATGGGATGTTTAGATATAAAGGAATGACCACGATTTTCTTTATTCTGAACGGGAAGTTTAAAAACTAAAATTTTATGGAGCTAAGAGATTTAAAATGGCGATGTTTTCAGAAAAAACTGAAAACATTCTGTTGAAAATTTGAAAAAGTCAAGTACTCAAAGTAAGAGTTTGATATTTAAGAATTGTTTAAATTTATTTCTTTGCTTCTTATTCGGAAAACTAAAAAGAAACTTATCAGATAACTATTTCAAAGTTCAAAAATTCATCGAAAACGTCAAAATTAGGAAACCCCAATCTATACCACCTGCCAGTGATTGCGATACACGAGGAAAGCTTAAGCATAAAAAAAATGCTGCTGAGTCAGATATCGAAACAAAAACGATGACAAATTTAACAAATATCTTGTATTTTGTAGTGACATCAACAGTATTGAAAAATTTTTTTGAAAAGAATTAATCTCAGCAAATAATTCTTTTAGCCCAAAAGGAGTTTTTAAAAATTATTTAAAAAAAAAAGTCTGAGTGGACTAAGGGATGGGTGAGAAAATAAAACAAAAGAAAAAAAAGTGGTCCTTTGCGCTCTATATGTTGCTTACAACATTTTGCTCACTTTGTTTGCGAAATAATCATTATATTTTGTATAAAATTTAGGAGTGCATTCAGGAATGCTACACGAATATTACTTTGACTGCCTACGGACTATCACAAAATAAGAAAGGATTCAACCTTAAGCGTGAGTATGTTTTATTTAATAAACCAGCCCACACACATGAATTAAGTTTTCACAATGTGGTGTACATCAGAAATTGTAAGCCATACTGCNATCGACGAAATAAAATTGGGCAGTGATACCCGACATTCATGTGACCGGGGCTACCCGAAATCCAATTTTTTTGTAAATTTGTAATTGCTCGAACAATTTTTCACATATAAACTTCTTTCTTTGCGCAAATTAAACTTAAGACTGCATACTTTAATGCTGTATGTATGGAAAAAATTATTTTTTTAGTATTAAAATGAAGTTTAATCGAAACATTCAACCAATTTTTCTTCATTTCATGACTACTGTATTCAACATATTTTCAAAACTATTGTTTACCATGTTACCAGCTGCATAAATACTTGAAACTTTGAAAATAATCTTTTTTTAACATAACAATTAATGTCCGATGGCCCATATTGACTTGAAAAAATATTCTATTCATATGAAATTGACAGTGGGCGGGGTACCCGACACTCCCCTACTGAAATTTAAAAAGAAAAGAAATTAGATTTTACAATGAAAAAAAAATTTTAAAACTATTACACATTGAATACTTAATTGAAACTTTAATTATTTAATTTGAAAATGTTTTTCAGAAATTTTAATATCCTTTACAACGAAATTAAATGGTTCAATTCCGGTATCGATACCAGCGTAAGAAAAATTTCGTTAGTGTCATACAAAAAATAACACAATGGGAAGGAGATCAACTGAAAGAATTTAGCTCATAAGCACTTCCAAACAAAGTATCATATATTTTTAAAAAAAATAAAAAATCAAATTGCAAAACCCTTCAACTTCCTTTATTAGACCAGAAAATAACTACTCGCTATGTGGCAAATCAACAAAAAGAGTGCCGAAAAATCTTACACAAATAAATGCTTATTTTAAAATTCGTATAAGTGCATCAATATTAAAAGATGCTATAAGAATTCAAAATCATCAATTTATGGTTGAAAAAACCATGTAGAAGGAGAATTCTTTAACAATTCTCATATTACAAAGTTGTAATATATATATTAATTATATTTTACCACTCCCCCAAATATGTTTACGTAACATTTTTTAAAAGTCAGTATGCATAACATTAATTTTTTTATCGTTTGATTAAATTTTTAGTCTCAGATTATATCTGATAGAAATTTATTTAAAAACATTATTAAACAATAATTATTTATTAGACTAATTATTATTATAATAAATATTTAATAGATGTTTATTAAACTAAAAGAAACATTACAGAATAGGACAAACTCGAAAGGTATAACCCCGGGCAAACATACATATTTTTTTTTTAAAAAAATTGCAAGTTTAAAATCTATTTAGCGATTGCACTTGGCAGGATAGATCACGATACTGAAATATCCCCAAGAAATTTAAATAAAAATGTTTAATTCTTTGTTTTACAATATTTTAGACATGAAATTTTAATACTGGAACAATATTGTTTGTATTGAACGCTAAACATTCTAGAATGTAATGGTTTAAACTGAGGTAAAAGTAGCAGACCATTAATTTTCTAATTGTTTTAACTTGGCTAATTTATTTAAAGACAATTATTTTTATCCTTTTCACTGTTGCAGAAAGACTTTGTCACAGTCGAATTACTTAGCAAACGTTGTTTTACAAGCATATTTTGAACTAATTACATTACTTATTATTTATAGCTAGACAATAAGTTGACAGAGAAGTCAACTACTATGTGCGAACAATAATGATCACAATTCATAATATTAACTGACTTTATTAGATACATGATTTTTAACTAAAGCAAAAACATCATTACTTACAATACTTCTTACCGTTTCATGTAACTATCATTAAAATTTGCAAAGTTTCCAAATAATTACTAAATTATAAATACCTTACGTAATTGGAAAAAAAAGCTGCCAAGCTCGAGCAAGATGGCGACGTACACAAACTTCAAGAAGTTACATACAACTCAACAGTTGAAAAAGTTTTTCGCGTTCAATCGTTCGCAAACTACCACTAATATTATCTTTCGTTTCCTTTGCAAAGGCTAAAAATGATATTTTAAGTAATAATTAATTTATTGTTTTCTTTCATAAATAAATATTTATTTATTAATAACATGGGATAACCTTTCACAAAAATGTGGCGCTGTACCAAAAGTAATGAAATAGATGATTATTTTGAAAGTTCGAATGTTAGATCGAATACTATATAATTTTATATCATATTAGTTCTAATAATAGAAGATAGGATTCAAGAGTTTTGCGTTTTATTAGCACGGCAGTATTATATTGCATCTTTCTAATATTAGATCATATCTTTTTGCTACCTGGGAAGATGTACAAGTGAGTAAATATATCCTATTTCAGTATGATCTAAATGATATGTCATGTTTGTAATGAGATGTTAATATAGATGTTTGTTTTTGTTGGATTTTTTTTATATTATCTACAGGAGTCTGTCTAGATTTTTCTGATAGGTACCTATTTTGTGAAAAATTAGACATAATTTGTGAAAATTAAAATTTATATTAAAAAAGCAACACAAAAATATGGATATATCGTTTCTTGTGGTAAACAAGAATAAAGTTTTAAGAAAAAGTTGTTTGAAACTACCGTTTTTCCTTAAGTTGAATTTGTGAAAGTACCCCTAAACGGTAGTAAATTTGGCCTGAACAGACCCCTGATTCTAGAAATGATAAATAAAATATTGTAACTGTTATGTGAAAGTGTGGTCAATGTTTATAAATTTACATAACTTCAATATCATTTTTTAACATATTTGGTAATTCTTTTTTTTATCGTTATTGAAATTTGAATTGTAAATGTGAAAAGAATTATTAAATACTATTAAATAGCTTACAAAATTAATTTAATTTAGCAAATAGATATAAATCCTAATAAATGATATGTTAGCAAAAAATTTATGTTATACATTTTTTTTTAAGTAATCAGTAAAATGGATGATGTTGAAAAATCAAAGGTAAAATTTAATCTTGTGAAAATACTATTAAATAAATGATGTTGTAAAAATCAAAGCTAAAATTGAATCTGGTAACATACTATAAAGCGCAAGTAAATATATTTTTTAAAATTTTATTTGGATCTTTTAATAAAAATTATTATTTTTTTCAAATATTTATTTTCATTGCCTTTGAAATAGAGAATATTTGTATGCAAATACGATATTAAAAGCTAAATTAATAAAATTTTTGTTTCATTGCAAAATAATAATAATAATAATTAGTATGTAAGAAAGAAAATAACAGCAACGAAAGAATATACTTTCTTTTTCCTCTTTTTTTTTAATCAAATCGTTTTATAGATCTGTTTATCAATTTGTTTTGAAAACTCTTTATCAAATTTATTTTTTCTAAACAATTTCAAGTTAGTTTCCAGAATAAAATATTTTTTATTAATTTATTAGGAAAAATACGTACCAAGTACTTTAAGCTAATTTACTAATAAATAAATAATTTAAAAATTATATGTTAAATTTCCGCAAGAAAATAAACAGTCCTTTTTTTTAAACTTTACTAATAATCCATTCCTCCGAAAAGTAAATTTCAACAAAAAAAGAAATATTTCATGATATCAGTATTTATTTATTTTTCTTTCAAAATACACGTGAAAATAATTTAAAAAGGAAATTCATAAATAGTCTTCTTAAGAAAACATTTATTTTTAATTTTCAGTAAACAGATTTTTTTTCATTATTAATGCAGAAATTTCTCTTCGTTAGATACTTATCCGGAAATGAATTTTCATAATAACCAAATTTAATACTCAGACATCTCTGTCTAATTTTGACATTACCTAAAAAACGTAACTACATGGTTATCTACTCTCATTTGAAAATTTTTATGCGTCGTGAACGAGAAAACTAATTTAAGACACATTAATTAAATCGAGAATCATATGTATCATGCTTCGAGAATCATATGAATCATATGTATCATGCTTCGTGAGAATCAATTATATATGGGTGATTCTCACGAAGCATGACAATTCACTGTCCCTTGCTCCAAGATCTAATACTATAATACTAAAAGAACTTTTTTTCAAAAAAAATTAATAAATAGCATTGCTGTTAGCATTTTAAAATGACTTTGCACTAGCATTGACTGTTTTGTATACTTAAAAAAGTTAATTGAATATCAAAATGTCATTTTCCTGGCATGTCCCAAACAATATTTCCAATAATAACTAGCTTCAAAACTTCCCATACATTTTTCAAAATCTAATTTTTTTTATCTTATCCTATGTAAGCATTTCTAGAACATACACAGAGGGTATTGTTTACTAAAACTTCGTTTAAAATAATTTTTTCTGTCAATAATTTGTTTGTCCCATGAAAATCTGTCATTTTCCTGGCTACTTTTATTTAGTGATTTATAACCAAAATAGATAGAGCCAGGAATCAATATCTAATGTTAATAGATTGATTAGATACCCTCCTATCTGAACATGTCTTGTTGCATGAATAAAGAACCAATTTTCTGGCTCAAAATCTATTTCAAAAATTTTTTCAAGGTGAGTAGGTTTTTATGCTGTCATTTTCCTGGCTTATAGGCATATA